GGGGGGGGGGGGCATCTGATCTGTCTATCTGTAAAAAGACAAATGCAAGCAGTTCTGCTTAAAATGATATGTGACACACGAGGAAGCAAACGTTGACCTCTGAATTCACAAATGACCCAATGCATGACCTCTCATTTGTACTTGCTTAAATAGACTATAAGTTTAAATACCTTATCCAAGAATAAACATGGCTTCAGTTTGTTGGCAAGCTGAGAAATAGTCATCACTGAAGATGAATTATGATAAAATTCACATAACCCACATGCTTTGTTTATTATTATTTTGATTATTAGCATTCAAATCTATAAATATTTACATAATAAGCCAGTCTGTGTGTAACAGTGATTTTATCATGGTAAGGAGCTGATCTTTTGTATGACTCAAAATAATGGCAAACTAGGTACGCAATTATTAATAATTAAAATTGGAATCAGCAATTCACCAGATCATAGTTAACATGCCTGCAGTCTGTGTAGCATTGCCAAGCAGCGGATAAACTTGACACATTGTTATAGAAAGGTCACAGCAGCTTCCAACATGGCTGTTTCAATCAGAAAATATAAATGGAGCTGTTCATTTCTTACATAAGCAGTTAGTCTCCATGCCCTAAATAAACATCCTGTCCTCTAGTGCCCTCTTGTGGTGAGACGCTGACAATGATACATCACTGCTGTGTTTGTTATAGATTTATTGCTCTTAGAATTGTTTATAGTCTAGAAGTAGATTGCTGCATAGATTAGCTTTGGAAAACAAATGCATTTCTAATAGCAGCCTTATAAATGACTTTTTGCCATCATGCACTTTTATATATATATACAGGTGCATCTCAAAATATTTGAATATCGTGAAAAAGTTCACTTTATTTGTAACTTATTTCAAAAAGTGAAACTTTTTTTTTGTTTTAATTTTGATGATTAGAGCTTACAGCTCATGAAACTCAAAAATCCAGTATCTCAAAAATATTAGAATATTTACATTTGAGTTTCATCAAATGACCATCCCCTAAAGTATAAATTCCGGGTATCTCTGTTCTTTGAAACCACAATAATGGGGAAGACTGCTGACTTGGCAATGGTCCAGAAGACGATCATGGACACCCTCCACAAAGAGGGTAAGTCACAGAAGGTCATTACTGAAAGGGGTGGCTGTTCACAGAGTGCTGTATCAAAGCATATTATATGCAAAGTTGACTGGAAGGAAGAAATTGGGTTGGAAAAGGTGCACAAGCAACAGGGATGACCTCAACTTGAGAATACCGTCAAGCAAACCCTATTTAAACACTTGGGAAAGCTTCACAAGGAGTGGACAGAAGCTGGAGTCAGTGCATCAAGAGTCACCACGCTCAGACGTCTTCAGGAAAAGAGCTACCAAGCCACTTCTGAAACAGAAACAACGTCAGAAGCATCTTACCTGTGCTAAAGAGAAAAATAACTGGACTGTTGCTCAGTGGTCCAAAGTCTTCTTTTCAGATAAAAGTAAATTTTGGAGGAAGACTGGAGAGGCACAGAATCCAAGCTGCTTGAAGTCCAGTGTGAAGTTTCCGAAGTCAGTGATGATTTGTGGTGCCGTGACGTCTCCTGGTGTTCACCTGCCCACAGTGCCAAAACCACTTCCAAATGGTTTGCTGACCATGATATTACTGTGCTTGATTGGCGAGCCAACATGCCTGACCTGAACCCCATCTGGAATCTATGGGACATTTTCAAGAGAAAGATGAGAAACAGTGGATCCGAGCTGAAGCTCAACAGTGCCTCAGCAGAGCTACAAGCGGATCGCATTCATTCACACCTCACTGATGCTGGAGTTTGTGCTAAAGGAGCCCCGACCAAGTATTGAGTGCATAAATTAACATACTATAAAGAACTTGAACTTTTCTGTTTTGCAAATCCTTTTTTTTTTTATTGATCTTAGGAAATATTCTAATATTTTGAGATACTGGATTTTTGACTTTCATGAGCTGCAAGCTCTAATCATCTAAATTAAAGCAAAACATGTTTTGAAATGTCTTTACATGTAATGAATCTAGAATATATGAAAGTTTTACTTTTTTAAATAAGTTACAAAACAAATGAATTTTTCACGATATTCTATTTTTTTTAGATGCACCTGTATGTATATATATATATATATATATATATACACAGTATATGTATCTATATATGTGTGTATAAACAATATTAAAACATAGTATATTAAGTGTAAAGTATAAATACACTCTTGCATGTGCTGTATTATCTGCCTTCAAATACTTGTTTCTCATCTCATTTACAAATGAATTAGAATGAATGAATGAAGTAACTGAATCAGATGTAAATAGCCATGTAATTGAAACCAAAACAATAGCCTTGCTTGTTGTAATATTAATGTGTTTTGGCATTGGAGATGTTATCTAAATTTCATTACATATGGTTTTGTATGATTCTTTGTGTATATACATACAACAATATAAAAGAAATACATAATTAAAGCAAAAAAATGTCATTATATAAGCAGTAATTTTTTATGTCTTTATGGAAGCATTGCAGAGCGCTGTATGATTGTGTTTTCATCTCACTCATCATAACTGTATAACGCTTGTGTTCTCAGGTGAAGCTGGTGAACATCAGGAATGACGACATAACGGACGGAAACCCAAAACTGACTTTGGGATTAATATGGACCATAATTCTGCACTTTCAGGTGAGCCAATCAAGTCTCATAGCATACCTTTATTGTTTATTTATTGGCTTTGATGCTTGATGTAGCTATTTCCAACTGCTTATTCCTCACAATGTGCAACAGTGGTCATATGTCAATACTGCAGTTCATTCTCTGACCACAAGAGGTCATACATGTATGTGCAAACCCTCATTAGCTCAAGGGTGTGCAGATATTTATTGAAAAGAGCTTGAGACAATACAGTACCTATTGCTAATAATGCCTTAGAAACGAGCCAAAACACCTTAGCAACCGTCCATTAAAACCACAGTGTTAAAACTATAAATATAACTCTAATACAACTAATATAGTCCATAAATAAAACAATGAATAGTCCATAAATAAACTTCAGGTTTCAAGGCTTCCTCAAGCCAGCATTCAGAGCTTGTCTTCATTTTCCTGTTCTAGTATGAGGATTGTTTAGTTGTAGGTGGAGTGTGGTGAGCTGTATCTGTCAGTCTGCAGAGCATGTTCACTCACATACTCACCCCCGCTTCAGTGTTTATTCATTTTCTGTGATGTGCCAGAATCTAACTACACTGTGAGATTGATTTATTAAGGTCATTATTTTAGCATCAACATGTAGTAGCTAAACATTGAAAATATGTTATTACACACACAAGATCTGTCTTGTAGGTCTTACGCAATTATTCAAATTTTGTATGCTTCCTAATAATAGGGGGGGGAAATCCACGCTTTTCACAATGAAAGAGCTTATATTGCAAAAAATAAAATAAAATCATTCGGAGCAAAAGATGAAAATTGCAGAGAATTATTATTATTTTTTTTTTGCATTTTAAGTTTGCAACAGGCTTTTTAAAAACATTCTGGCAGTTTTCCTGCAGTATTTCTGCAGCTGCCTCACGCAGAGGTCACACACAGATTCTGCTGCAGCTGCGCATTTGCAGGTCTGAGCATCAAATATACAGTATGACTGAGGTGGAGAGGAGTGCAGTCCTACATTCCTGCTTTTCGTCTGCGCTGCTTTGTAATTGAGAGTCTGCACACATGCATCAGATTGAGGTCTTTGCCCATTATATCTCACCGCTTTTTAATATCACATTTTCTTAACTTCAAATGTGTAAAATGCATCAAGTTCAAGTATTCCCTTGGAGAGTTCTACTGATTTCGGACAGACTGCACTGCAGTAGGATATTAATATCCTTGGCTCGGCTGCTTGTTTGGTTTGAGGTGATGTTATGATTGAAACATTTTAGCAGTAGCCTGTTGCAGAAGTCAACCCGAGTCCAGACCGTCACAGCTCTTCCTGATTCACTTCTCTATGAATTCAACTTCACCGCACCTCGATCTCGCAAACCACGCTGACCCAGCCTCCCTGACGGCCCACAATGGGCTGAAGGCTTACAAAACAACTTAAAAAACGATATCTGAGGCACAGCCGAAGAAAGTGTTAAATAATGCTTTGCTTCATAAAACTTGCTGACAGGTAGCGTGAGGCCGTGCAGGAGCACCTGCCGCTGTCACTCTGACGCGAGCCGTTGGGCATGCGGTGCTAGTGGGCCTGTTCCCTCATGATCCACAGTTAGAGGGCACATAGAGTTGTTTTTGATGGCTCTGCCTAGACATTAGTCTCACGGGGATGATTTTTGAACCGTGTTCATATATTTTTAGCCCTCCAGTCTCTTCTTTGGAAGTATCCAGTTTTCAATCTGTTTCCAACAAACAAAAGTATCGCATTTCGCAGTAAAATTACATCTATTGTTTGCATCTCTTTAGTCAACGACTAATGTAATCAAAGATTTTGGAGAATGCATTTATTCATTAATACAATATCCACAGCTGCCATCTGAATACTGTCTGTTTGAACATTTGATCAAAGACATTTGACTCTGAATCAAGCTGGCATTAGCCAGTAATGACAAGCCACAAGTTTGCTTGTCTTTTTTGCTTTATAGGCATCCTTTGAAGTTGAGGGGTGTGTTAAGGGTGTATTAACATCGCCTCCAGCAATAATATGCAACAATGTGATATTTGATCTCTTCTTTTTTTATTTAATGTTTTTAAAAAATTGTACTACGGAATATTTTTGGGGGGCAAAAATGAACAAAATTGTGTTGCTGAGCTAGCATAAAAAAATGAAATAAAAAGCCTGAAATATTTATTTAAATTTTGTATTGTCGGGTCAGATTTGGCGGGAAATTCCAGGCAAAGTCAAGTCAAGTCACCTTTATTTATATAGCGCTTTTAACAATACAGATTGTGTCAAAGCAACTTTACAGTATTAAATAGGAAAATAGTGTATCAATAATGCAAAATGACAATAGTAAACACTCAATTTTCAGTTAAACTCAGTTCACCCCATCATCCAGCTCAGTTCAGTTTAAGTAGTGTCTGTGCAATCAAGTCGACGATATCGCTGGAAATTAAGTGTCCCCAACTAAGCAAGCCAGAGGCGACAGCTGCAAGGAACCAAAACCTTGGGAGAAACCAGGCTCAGTCGGGGGGTCAGTTCTCCTCTGACCAGACGAAACCAGCGGTTAAATTCCAGGCTGCAGCAAAGTCAGATTGTGCAGAGGACTCAACTGGTTCCTGTGGCCGTCTAGGAGACAAAGTCTTCACTGGGGATCTGTCTCTGGGGCTCATCTAGTTGTCCTGATCTCCGCTGACATTCAGAGCTGTAGCAGTCCTCTCTAGGTGCTGATCCACCATCTGGGCTGGATACGGACTGGATCCGGGTGACTGCAGTGACCATCTGATCTGGATACAGACTGGATCTGGTGGCTACGGTGACCTCGGAATAAGAGAGAAACAGACTAATATTAGCGTAGATGCCATTCTTCTAACAATGTAGCAAGTACATCGGGTGTTATGGGAAGTGTTCATTTGTATGTGTTTCCATCATGTCCACACAGAAGAAGGCCTGGCTAGCATGTCGTATGCGTATGCTGAGGAGTGGTTGTGCAGTAGCATGGGAATACAATAAATAGTGTTGTTGCATCGAATTTGAACTAGTCAGCTAGTTGCCGTTTGACTTCTGGGGAATCACCCACTGTCAAAACGAACAACCTGAAAAGAGTTTGAAAAGAGTCTGCAGCCATAAAGGGAAAGTGACTGAGCTTATGCCAAAACAAGATTCAACCCACAGCAGATGTGATACTTGCATGCTCAGATGCCTTTTTTTTGTCATTTGCTATGTTGGAAGCACTTCTTACTGTCAGTGGGTCTGGGCACTCTGAACGAACGCAGCATTGTTTTAACCACTGCACATGCAGAACTGTGCAGATATCAACATACTTTGATGAAATGCAAATGAAAGTTAATGGGAAAAGTACTTTACAGTAAGCACTTATACAGCATACAGCTTAATGGCTTGCCACACAGATGTGTGTGCTGCCTAAAATGCATTTGAGCCCTGTTTTCCTGCTTTGTGTACCGCTACACCCCTATTGATAAGATTTAAGTTCCTGTGTGTTTCTGTGTGGTTTCTAGAATTTTCTAGATAGCTTCTAAGGCATCCATGCTGAAGTCTCTGTGATATTATAGTGGTAAGATTAGCTCATATTGGGCCAGATTTACGAAACAGGGCAAATTAGTGAGAGAGCACAATCTCATAAAAGCACAGATGGGAGTGGAAAGTTCTGCAGTTGATCTACTGACAATGAGCACATTTAAAGAACACAGACACAGACAGAGCATTTCCTTAAAGATGCAATCTACCAAGAGCAGCACAAATTAGTGCAAGGTCACACACAAGCAGAACCGATGATAATGTGTGGGTAAACTGCTAACAACATAGATGCAAAATGGCTTAAGACATCATTTTTTGGGGGGTGGTAAATGATGGTGCAAATACCAGTAAACTGACTACTGCAAACCTTTGCATGATTCATTGAAATACTCTCCTCCCATTAATTTTTGCATCTGAAAGGGAAACACCTACAAATGCATATGCAGCAGAAATAACAGTCCACGCCTTTTCATGTCTTCAGTGTGTCGTCAGTAAACCCTGATAGTAGTTTTTAATGCCAAAAGATGGTTTGCACTGGAACGAGCTGTTAGTACGTCTGGCCCCTTGTGTGAGATCCCTAAAACAAATTAGCCTAATTAGTAATAGTTGCCTTTGCAAACACTATTAATTAACTTTAAATGAATGTTTGGACAATAACTTGCTGTATAAGCTAATTATATTTTACAACTATGGCTCCAAATGAGTTTATGTAGCCAATAATAGTTATTATCTTCCATATCTATGACCACTGGTTATGTTTGTTGGTTTTACGTGCTGGACGTGATCCTTTTGGAAGATTTGCTCTTGTTTCGAGCCATATTAAAGAGCAAACAGAGAGCTTTGTCATCTGGCGCAGCACAGTTTGCCATGCAGCAGAGCCAGCCACGTTGTCCTGCTATTTTTAAAGGCCACATGACAGGCCATGACTCTCTCTCAGCCTGGTACGTCCTAATCGAATGGCTCAACTTGCTGAGCAGAGCTCTCACACGCGGCACACAGTTTCCATCAGGGAACGGATGAGAGTCTTTCCTGCTCCCCTCCCTTTTCCCTCTCTCTCTCTCTCCAGCCTCAGACCGCTAAGGACATAGATCTGGAGTCAGCCTGGGGAACGCAACACCAGCAGGGCTCCGGGGGTGGCTGTGTTTACACATCACATGAGGATTGTGACGTTTCCTCAGCTGTGACAGCAGTGTTCGTTTCTGTTGCTTGCCGGGCACCTCGATCTCTATAGTGTTTGTTCTGGAAGATCAGGGCAAAGGGTGACGTTTCACAGGTCACAGATTTCAGTGTGTTGGCAACGTGAGAAGAAAGCGCCGGGCTGTGAAGCAAGGCCGGTGCAATACAGGAAGCAGAAGTGTGTTTGGAGTCTCAGAGGGATTCATATCATCTGCTCCAATTTGGATATTGGGACTATTTGTCTGGCATCACCTCCATCACCGAAACACTTGCAGGGGAAAAGATGCCTGTTATTTCCTGGGATAAGAAACTCTTGAACTTGCTGAACTTGTTTACAGCTGACAGGAAAAAGTGAAACTTTCTTGATGGGCAGCCTTGTTAGTATGAGCAAGCGCCATGGGTAATATGTGTGGATGTGTGCGGGGCTCTAAAGAGGAGTGTTATGTTGATCCCACGAAAGCCCCAATCAGCCCTGCACCAAAGGAGCTCAGTGGACGCCGATACTTTCAAAGAAGGAAGAAGAGGAAATCCGCAGAGTTCAGTGCTACTGACTCTTTGAGAAGCCATGGAGTCGAGGGCTGTAGGAGTGATGACCTGGAGGATGTCACATCTGGTAGTAATTCCTTCAGTCAGGTTGGTACGTTGAACTCAGAGCAAGATGGGATTCCAAGGCCCAGGCAGCCCAGTATCAGCCATGGGGTCTATGTTGGAGAAGTCCCAGTTCCCCGAGGTAAAACCGGCAAAAGACCAGGTGTTCATCAGATGGATAAGGACAAAAGCAGGCCCACTGTGGAGCATAATTTACATGGGGTCACCAAGAGCTCCAGAAGCATCTCCTCAAAGGACGGGCTCTTGGAAAAGAAACTCTTGCGGAGGCAGTTGAGGAGGGCGGTGAGTTTTGGAGCGGTGGAACATATGCTCCAGACACTGAGAGGACAAAGCTCCTCGAGGAGCAGTGTGGATCATCAGTTGGAAAACATGGAAGGCTTCTCCAAAATTATATGGGACACTCAAGCACACAGGAAGCGGAGGAGGGCCCACACTTGCTCGGGAGGTTTAGTTTCCCAGGCTACTTTGGATACAGTCCAACAAGATCTTAAACATGCTTCTACTGAACACCAGGAGGTAATAGCAGCATCTGTCATCATGTGAGATGCCACTTATGGTGCAACGCTACAATTTGTGTGACATTACTTAAGAAATAATGTCTGCTAAACATCATACACCCTTTACTCATGATACACGCTGGGTTTACTCCATGTTGTAATTGCCATAATTGCTAGATGACAACCCGCGACTTTGTAGTGGTCAGGCTGTGCAAGTCGGGGCTCTCCGAAAAGTCAGTTTACAAGTTGTTATTTTGAGTTCTACAAGGACTGAATAATTTTATTTATAGTTATTCTGACATTATGTGAATATAGCTATACAACAGGCTTGATTGCCTTGTTGTTTTTATAAAATAGTTACTACATAATAGAAATATTTAGGCCAACTATAATTAATTTTACTTTTATGCATTTGGTAGACTCTTTTATGATATTATCGTGCTAATTTATTTAATTATTTACTTGCTTAGTTTCATTGCCGGAAAGTGAACCAACTCCAGCATAAGGCTAAAAGCAGCCGAATGTTTTTCATATGAATTTGTATTTAACATGATAACAATTTAATAGAAACATTGTAAGTTACTAATTATAATGCTTACATTTCCTCAGTTATTCAAACAGCAGCTACAGAAAACAAGCAAAGAACATTTACATTGCCAAAAAACATCACTTCATCACATTTCAATCTAGTGCGAGTTTATGCACTTTAAAAAACTCCCGTTATAATCAGTGAAGCTAACCACACTGTACTATGATTCATAAATATTATACATCGCACATACATCTGAACTTTGTTATGATGAGAGAGCTAAATTCAGTCAGCCAGTGTGCAATGAACAACTAAACTCATTGGAATCGTGTGTGATGGGTTATAATGCGCAACACTGTAAAAACGTGGAAAAAGAAATATGATGGGCCAAATAAGCCCTAATTATTAATTAGATTCAGTTACTAGCCTGATAATAATAATAATAATAATAATAATAACAATAATCGTCTTGCTATTCTCAGTGGCATCAGCCACAGGCAACATCTCTGACTATCGTCGATACACAATACTATCATCCATCGGCACAACCCTACTCTCTACTGTTTGAGACACATGCAAATTAATTTAGTCGGTCTTTCCATTAGAAGATACTAAGGGTCATATTTGACTTCTATGTTGCCTTGTGATGTAACTAGTAACAGGTACTTTGTGTCATAACTGTGACTGTATTCTTTATTTTAGCTATATTGACCCATCAGCATCTAGAAACTCCAAGAGTTTCCATAATGTTGTCATTCATCTCGAGAGTCATGGCAGCGGTTAGTCAGGGCTGACATGTTTTGGTGTGTTTGGTTCTTGGTTTCATAGCTCAGTCTTTCCACACTCACAGTCTACACACCATGTGCTCTGCTGCCTTCTGACAAGCTATAATTACATCGGCCGGCAGACTCTTTTGAGTTGACTTGAATGTCAGCACGTATCTATTGTACACTTAGCAAGCTGTGAATGATTATTAAGCTGTTGATTTTAATATGTGGTGGTATAATATGTTTTCTTAAATGCTAAGTGCTGGCTTAGCTTTTGCTCCAGGCATTTGATTTTAGAGCTACAAATCCTTTTTAGCAGTGTGAAGTCATGTGAGATCTCTAATGGTCAGTGGACACGTGTGTGTGTGTGTGTGTGTGTGTGTGTGTTATCGGTCACTGTTCATTAGTCACCATCAGCATATTTCACTGCTATATTCAAAATACATTTAATATGGTTTATTGCATACACGGAGGCTACTATAAATAGCTCTAAATGAAGAAACAGAGCAAGCGACCTGTGCTGGTAAATCACTGATCAAATGTCACTTGAATCAGCCTTTCTATGTGCACCAGCTGAGCTTCATTGCTGAAACAGCAGAAAACAGACATTTGGAAAAGGCCAAAATACAGATATTTGCCAATATTAGATTAGGAAGTCAGACACTGATTCCTTTGGCTGTAATTTAACAGTATCTATGTGTGGGGAAAATGCATTGCATAGTATAGAGCATTTGTGTGCAGTGCTTGCTCACAAGTGATCACATTTTTATTATGGAGGGGCTATTGGCACCCAGGTGTAAATACTTGCACTTAAATAGTCTTTTTGACCTGCAGTGGGTGTGGCAGATAAGGAAGGCATCCAAAATGTGCAGTATTATAAATACTATAGCATATAATATTTATACGCAATGTTATTATACTATAGACAGAATTTGTTACTACATAGGATGCAAATATATATTTGCTACCTGCTATACTGGGGCGCAGAAAGTCTTTTTTAAATGACATTCTTGCAATCTTCACATGTATTTACATAGAGGTGAAATGATTAATATAAACAGTTAATGCATTTTCTGTATGGACATGATGTATGTATTTTTATTAATTTTTAATTCTAAGCTCTTGAAGCGTTTGTCAGATTATTTACAGAACAGATTTGAATTTACTTTAATGACAAAAACTACATTCATTTAAAAAAAAAAAAAGGTGCAATTCTCTAATTTCAAGAAAAGGTGTGATTCTGCTACATAACATTTCTTTTTAAATCAATTTTAAAAATTGTGTTACAAAATGACCATTTCTTTACACAGTTTTAAATAAGACAAGGTTTGAAAAGAAGACTCTTAGCTACTGTATGTTATAACAGATTTTCTTAACAAAAACATGCCTTCTTTCCTGCCTGCAGATCTCGGACATCCACGTGACAGGAGAGTCCGAGGACATGACAGCCAAGGAGAGACTTCTGCTGTGGTCCCAGCAGATGACCGAAGGCTATGTAGGCGTCCGCTGTGGCAACTTCACTACCTCGTGGAGGGATGGACGACTGTTCAATGCTATAATACATAAGTACAGGTAACAACTCAGCAATGTCCATTTCTAAAAAAAATATCAATGTCCAAATGCATGCATGTTTTTATCATGGTTTCGTGTGTTAAAGGGCATGCAAGTAATGGCTGAATTTTCAGGAGTTTTTTTTTTTTTTTGTAGGCTCTGTGTAAAAACTTAGCGAGTTGTCTTGCTGTCTACTGTCTTCACTGCTAGTAAAGACAACATTATGTCAAAATTGACCACATTCCTTGTCTTACTGTTCACGGTTCATCAGTTCACGCTATTTCAAGGAAATACAAATCTTTCATAGAAAATGTAAAAACGTCATTTTATGTTTTGAATTTCTAGCCCTCCCCTTTAATCACCTGTCATATAGGGCCTACTTACACTTCATGTAGGGCCACTTCATGTATTTTCACTGATCAGATAGCTATCAGATTGCAGAAAGACAGATTACAATCCAGTGCATCTCAAACGCCTTCAGGAGATTCCAGACGCAACTGGACCAGTGTAAATGCATGCAGTTTTACTGTTCACAAAATGTTAAAGAAATAAAGGGGCAAGTGAGTGTTATAGCTATAACTGTATATCTGATTTGAGAAAGTACATGCAGTGATAAATGTCAATAGGTACTTTTCACCATCCAGTCAATTACAGATGGAGAAAACTAAGTCTTTCCCTAATTTCTTTAAAATCCTGTTTCACTCTGAAAGAAATTGTTAAATCATGGAATCATGGAAGTTACGAGCGATGTTTCAGAGCTTTACTGTACATGCACATATAGCTTTATTTCTCATCGCTGTTCTTAGAATGGTCTGTTGTGCTATTATAGTCATAACCTGCTCTTTATAGTTTGATGAAATGTCGTTTTTCCTAACAGAGAGTTTTCAGATGACCTCGATTCTAAATAGTTACTTTTTTGTGCAAAGATATTTCTAGACGTGACTATTCCTGTCAGTCGGGGGGTTTAGTAATGAGTTAATAATGATCCTTATGAGTGAATCTCACGAATCTTGTCAAGAACATGCCTGGCTCATACAGTATTTCACCCCAGAAAGAAATCATATTTTCCCTAAAGAAAATGAAGCCTGTTTTTGGGGCTGGTAAGATAGCTGTCCTAAAGTAGATTTCATTTTCTCAATGCTAAATGTATTGTGTTGTTCCTTATATGCTCTTTATGTGAATGATGTCCCTTGATTATGTGCGTACAAGTCTTTGACTCAGTCCTGACGTTGATTTCCTCTGGCGATTTACACAAACCCAGTGTTACTCCAGACTCAGTTTGAGTCAATGAAAATGTCTGTCACCATCAATCAAATACTTTTTGATTAAAGCAAGATTGTGGTGTGTAATATAAAAACATATCTGACACTGAAAGATATCAGACATGCAGAGACTGTGGAATAAGATTGTATTGTCACGGTTCTGTCTTAATTCAGGCCCGACCTGGTCGATATGAGCAGAGTATCAACACAAAGTAGCAGATCCAACCTAGAGCAAGCGTTTGGTGTGGCCGAGCAGCTTGGTGTGGCCCGACTGCTGGACCCAGAGGGTGAGTTTCAGCGCCAAACTAATGTCCTCATCCATGTTACGCCATTAGGCATTATTATATTGTCAAAAATAAAGTTTATTGCTTGCACATGTGTAAACTGTATTTAAAAACTATTTATCAGTTATTTATTGTTTACATTTAATTACATTTTTTAAGAATGGATTAAATAAAATTTGAATTTATTTATTTATTTTAAGTGGCAACGTCATCCACCATTCATCCTGCATTCATTGATTGGCTACCCCTGTTGAAAAAACCAGCATATGCTGGTTAGGCATGTTTTGAAGCATGGCTGCTGGTTTGAGCTGGTCGTGAGCTGGTTTAAGATGGTCCTTAGCTGGTCATGTGCAGGTTTAAGATGGTCCTGAGCTGGTCATGAGCTGGATT